TCCTCCTCCTCCTCCTCCTTCTTTTCCTCCTCCTCATTCCTGGAAGATCGGAGCAGGATGAGGAGGAGGAGGAGGAGGCCGAACTTCGCTGGGCTTGTCGTTTCGGCTGCCCCCGAGAGATACAACTGCCTGTTCGTCGACAGCCCGGTCATGACAGGCTCTTCATCGCCCCCCTTCCTCCACCTCCTCCTGCTTCCCCTCCGCTTCCTCCTCCTCCCTCATTCTGAACCTCCCTCATTCTCCTCTTCCTCCTCCACCTTTTCGTGCTCCTCCGCATCCCCTTTTCCTCCCTCATTCTCCTCCTTCCTCCTCCCTCATTCTCCTCCTGCCCGTCTTCTCCTCCTTTGCCCTCTCCCCCTCCTGGCTTGACAGGCTTCTCGTACCAGACCGACCTGGCGGGAAAGTTCGACGCTGACCGGATCGAGTACACCAGATCGAGCCATGAGCTCAGAGAGCCCCTCGCTCCAGCGACGGGTGTCGGGCTCGAGCATCGCAGCTGCTTTCTCGGGCCAGCTCGGGACCACGTCAGAGCTTCAGATGCCCATCGGAAACGAAAAGGGGAGACTGCGTAAACCATTTACAGTCGGGGCCCTGAAGAAGGAACCCTTTTCGTTGGGGAGGGGCTCCGAGTTCCTTAAGTGTTTCACAGCTTGCCTCAGGTTTTCCTTATGTTTCCGATACGAAATCGAAGTTGAACTTATGGAAAAAAGGGGCCTCGTTTCTTATTTAGGGTTCCTTAGGTCAACGCCCCGACTGTAAACCATTTATTCTCCATTGGTGCTTAAAGGATTTTGGCCTCTCGGGGGGGTCTGTGTGGGGCTCAGAGAGCAGCTGGAACCATCTTGTGGCTCTCCTGGAGGCGTGATGGAGGCCATCTTGATTTCTCTTCGGCTATCTTGGAGGCCACCTTGGAGGCCATCTCGGAGCATCGGAGGCCCATCTTGGACCATCTTGGGCGCTCCTAACCCCTCCGTCCAGGGTTCGAAACATCTGGGGGAGGGGGTGGGGAGGGTTAGTTACCCCTTCCCGATTGGAGTGCCGGATTGGAAGAGGCAATTCAGAACTCCTTGGACCACCTGCGCCCGGAGAGCTGGTGGGGTTCTTGCGCATGCGGCAATGCGGGAGGCCAGACGGGAGAGCATACGGGAGAATGTGCGGGAGGCCAAGCGGGAGAACGTTCGGAAGACCATGCGGACTATGCGGGGAGACCATACTGGATACCATACGGGAACCCATCATGTCACCGACACCGGGGCTGGCAACAGCACTTCCCCAGATACCATGCGGGAGATGATGCGGGAGACCATGCGGAAAACCATCCAGGAGACCATCAAGTCACCGATTTTGCGGCCAGCTACGGATTTCCCAGCTCTTTACGAAGCCTGATGAGCAAAACAACCTTTGCAGACAAGCTGTCTGGGGAAAAAACGACTCAGGAAGAGAACTGGTCTGGGGGGCTTCTTTCAGGGTCCAGGACCCGTGTTTCCCTCAGGACCCGCTTCCTTTGTGCCGACCAAGGCCCTTGGAAACGGGGACGCTGCTGACAGAGGGCGTTGCAAGCTCCGCCCACGCCAGACTTCTTCGCGTATGAAGAAGTCACGGCGGGAGGCCTTGGGCCATTTTCTGGCCTCCAGGAGCCCCTCTCTGGGCCCTAGGACCGTCGAAAATAGTTCGGGGTGACAAACCTGTCGGGAGGAGGGCTGGGAAGATCAGCAGGAGGAGGATGAGGAGGAGGCGGAGGAGGAGGAGGAGGAGGAGCAGGAGGAGGAGGAGCAGGAGGAGGAGGAGGGGAGGAGGAGGAGGAGGAGGAGGAGGAGGAGGACGTCGCCCCCCCCCCCCCCCCGCGGGGGAAGCGGTGACGCGCGCGCGCGCCGCGAGATCTCGGGAAGCCATCTTCTGCAGGGCGGGTGTACTAGATGTTCGGGTCGGACGCCATGACGTGTGCGTCGCCCCCGCAGGGAAGCGACGCGCGCGCCGAGAGATCTTGTGGTGTGAGCTCCGTGGCGGGCGCTCTCTGGCCACACCGCTCGGGAATCTATCTTAATACAGGGCGGGTGTGCTGGATGCCTGGGTCTGACGCAATTGTTAGGGGGCCACATGCGAACCCTACCCCTACCCCCCACGATGTCTGATGGGGATGGTGGGGTTCATTTCATTTCATTCGGGAAGGTAGGAGGAGGAGGAGGAGGAGGAGGAGGAGGAGGAGGAGGAGGAGGAGGAGGAGGAGGAGGAGGAGGAGGAGGAGGATGGAGACTGCTTCGAGCCATGGGTGCAGCTGCCCAGGGCATGCCGCTTTCTGGCCACGCCGCTCGGGAAACTGTATTCTGCAGGGCGGCTGCACTGTATGATGTTTGGGTCGGACGCATAGCACTGCTGTGTCCTGCTGCGTTCCAGGGAATGCTCTCCACACCACCTCCGCCCTCTCCGATCCTCTTGCCCTGCGGCGCTGCCTGCAGTGACCGCGCCGCCCCCTCGGCTCGCAGCGCCGCCCTGTCGACCACAGGGCGGAGGATTCGCACTCTATCTGCAAGGAGGAAAGACTGGTCTACTCTGTAAGAACGGTTTTTTGAAGGCAGGTCTGCCTTCAAAAAACCGTTCTTACAGAGTAGACCAGTCTTTCCTCCGCCCTCTCGGATCCTCTCGCCCTGCGGCGCTGTCTGCAGTGCCCGCGCCGCCCTCTCGGCTCGCGGAGCGCCGCCCTCTCGACCACAGGGCGGAGGTGCTAGAGGTTCCCTCTTGCCCTGCGGCGCTGTCTGCAGTGACCGCGCCGCCCCCTCGGCTCGCGGCGCGCCGCCCTCGTCGACCACGGGGCGGAGGTGCTAGAGAAGTGTTCGGGGCGGGCGCAGGCCTCCGAGGAGGGCGCGCAGCACAGCCAGTGCGCATAGAGTGCCGTTTTCAATGCATGCTCCGCGCACGGCAGGGGCGTGCGCACACTTCACTGTAGGCATTTTGGCCCAGAGCGCTAAAGCGACGAGGCCAGACCGAGGTTAGCTGAACTCCTCGGGGGCCATTGCCACGTTGAAAACATCGTCTCATTTTATCGAGAGTGCGCATACAGTGCCATTTCAAATACACGCTCCGCGTGCGGATCATATATTGCAAATGCAGGGATCTAGTACTAAAAACAACGATGCGTGCATGCATGCATGCATTCATAGACTACTCATGTATTAGAAATCCAATGTGTTAAAAACACATCCGACGTATCAAAAGCTGCCCTGTAGTAAGGATGAGCGACTCTCCAAGGTTTCCCTTGCACCCCTTCCCCTCCGGCCCACTCTTGGCCGCTTCCGCTAAAAAAAAACAACATATCTTGGCCGCTTCCGCTGGCCGCGCCCCGCTCGCAGAGTGCCGACAACGGCCCTCCCAGGCCCTCGGCATCCTCACCGCGCGTCCCCGTCGCACGGGTTGACTGTGTCAGCATGCGTGCCCTCCTGCGCCCCGTCGGAGGTGGCTTGGCATCGCTCGGACGCGTGCAATTTTCTTTCGGCGAGGATCATCGAGGAGCATCCTTGAGCATTTGGGGAAAAAGCCACACACGAAACCGAAAAAAGCACAGGGAATGGACGTCCCAGCGACGGCCAGGTGGGGGCGCGGGGAGGGCCGAGAGGGATGGAGGCTGCTTCGAGCCCTGGGTGCCGCTGTCCAGGGCCTGCCGCCCACGGGGCCAGAAAATATACCACCACCACCCCCTTAAAGAGGAGGGGAGGAGGAGGCTAGAGGAGGGGAGGAGGAGGAGGAGGGGAGGAGGAGGCTAGAGGAGGGAGGGGGAGGAGGGGAGGAGGAGGCAGGAGGGTAGGAGGAGGAGGCCGGAGGAGGGAGGGGGGAATGGAGGTGGCGGTGGTGGTGTATATTCCTGGGGCCCGCACCGCTGCCCCCCCCCCCCCGGCGGAAGACCCCGTGGACGGGGCCCAGAGCTTGGGACTGGATCGGGCCGGCCGCACCAGGGCATCCCCGGGCGCCTCCTGCGCTCGCTCTGCCTCTCTTTGTTCGCAGCGCCGTGGTCGGAAGCTTCTCTGCCGAGCGTGTGCCGCGCCGCTGCTCCTGGCCCCCTCGCGCTGATCGGCGCGGCACGCGCTGAGCACCTCGGGGCCTCCGGGCCTCCACGTCCCGGGCCTCTTCCCTGGCCTCCCGCCGCGCGGAGTGGAGCGACGCGCCAACTCGGCGTGCAGGGCGTGGCGTGCCGCGCGAGGGGCCGCCGCCGCAAGACGCGTGGAGCAAGAGTTCCCTGCCGTAGCACCCTGGGGCCATCCTCTCGGGCCCCAGGGCCAGGAGGAGGAGGAGGAGGAGAAGGAGGAGGAGGAGGCGGAGGAGGTGGATGAGGAGGAGGAGGAGGTGGAGGAGGTGGAGGAAGAAGAAAAGGAAGAAGAAGAAGAGGAGGAATAACAATGATACTACTACTACTACTACTACTACTACTACTACTACTACTACTACTACTACTACTACTACTACTACTACTACTAATATGAAGAAACGAAGAAGATTAATACTAATAATAATAATACTAATACTAATAATAATAATACTAATGATATTAATACTAATAATAATAAGAATATTAATAATAGTAATAATAATGCTAATAATACTAATGCTAATAATAATAATAATAATAGTAATAATAATAATACTAACAATAATATTATTAATAATAATAATGATGATAATAATAATGATAATAATAATAACAATACTAATAAGAATAATAATAATACTAATAATAATATGAATAATAATAATAATAATAATAATAATAATAATAATAACAATAATAATAATAATAATACTAATAATAATAATAATACTAATAATAATAATAATAATAATAATAATAATAATAATAATAATAATAATATTAATAATAATAATAAAATTAATAATACTAATAATAATATTAAGAATGAGGAGGAGGAGCAGGAGCAGGAGGAGGAGGAGGAGGAGGAGGAGGAGGAGGAGGAGGAGCGCTCTGAAGAGCAATCGCACGGCGCCGGAGGCCAGAGCCAGCACGAGGCAGTCGGCCGGCCCGGATCCCAGCGGGGGCGGTGCGCCATCCGAGGCCGCGAGGCCACCGAGCAGGTCCTCGGGGCGCTGCTGCAGTTCTTCGAGATCTGGCCCGAGCATCGGCCAGCGCCCTATCTCGGGTGCTGCTGGGCCCAGGCCTCCGACGGTGTGGGTTGTTCGCTCGCGGCGTTCTTCCTTCGCTTCGGCCTCCAGGGGCCGCTGGCGGGACCCCGGGCCGTCAAGCGTGGACTCTTGGAGAGTCGACAGCCCCCGGGAATGGGGGCGCGGGCTGTGAGAGTCACACCGTCGGTTGTCTGGGGACGTGGTCGTGGTCCAGGGCGACCCCGGCTTCCCACGGGGGGCCCCTCGGCGTCCAGAGTTCCTTTCACCAGGTCCAGAAGGCACCAAGTGCTCCTCCTCCTCCTCCTCCTCCTCCTTCTCCTCTTTCTTTTTTCTTTTCTTTTCTTTCTTTCTCCTCCTCTTCCGCCTGCTCCTTCGTCCTCCTCCTTCTCCCTCCTCCTTCTCCCTCCTCCTCCTCCTCCGCCTCCTCCTCCTCCTCCTCCTCCTGACCCGCGGGGAGCGAGAGGTCAAACAGCCGAAACAGCTCCTCCTCCTCCTCCTCCTCCTCCTCCTCCTCCTCCTCCTCCTCCTCCTCCTCCTCCTCCTCTCGCCTCCTGCCTAACCAGGGCGCGGTGTCCAATGGGGAGCCCTCACACCTTGTTTTCTTTTGGGGGGGGGGGGCCATCCAGACGACACCCCACCTGGGCGTCCCTCGCCCAGGCAGGGGCCAGCGACAGGACCCCCCCCCCCAAACCCAAAAATTTGCTGCAGGAGGCGGCAGCTCGAGATGCAGCTCGGGCGCGGGCCGCTCGGGGCTGTCCCTCGGGAGAGTTCCCCTTCTCCAGGGCCTTGGGGACTCCGCCCGCGGACACGGGCTTTCTCGCTGTGTGCAGGCTCCTGGCGAGCGTCTGCAACGGCCTGTGCGCACGGGCCCCCGCAGCACGGACACCGGAGAGCGTCTCGGAAGCTGCGGGATCTGCCGGTGGGGCACATGAGTTCGCGGGAGGGCGTCGCGGTCGTCATTTTGCGGTTCCAGGTCCGTGGGTTTCGGCCCCAGGCCGTTTTCACGAAGGTGAGGTCTACGAAAGGGAGGTTTGTGCACCGCCGACACCAGAAAGCGCCTCGGAAGCTGCTGGATCTGCCAGTGGGGCACAGGAATTCTGCTGGGCAGGCCTGGGTAGCCGTGTCTGAGCCGCTGGTCCCTAAGGCCCCCCTGGGGGCGACTCGAGACACTTTTTTGATCCGCGGGTCGAGAGAGCACCTCTTTCCGGTCGAAGCTAAGCGGGCCGCGCGAAGCTTGAATTAGGCAGAGAAGAGGAGGGAAGCGGCGGAGCCTCAGAGCGAGGCCGAGAGGAGGCATAGCCTCGGATACAGGCGGTGCCGAAGCCGAAGTCCTTGCAAAGGGACGCCTTCGGCAGGAGCCCGGTGGCGAAGTACCAGAGAAGAGCAAAATGCTACCGTAGCGACTCGAGACACACGCTGCACTCGAGAGTTCTACCGGGGATCGCAGAGCGGCCAGCCTCCCCCGCTCGGCCTCCGCCCGGCGGTCTTCACAAGAACTGGCAGCCATTCAGTGGGGGCCCATGCCAAGAAACACCCTGCTTGCCTCGAGGGTGCCCTGGGTTTCTTGGGTTTCGAGGGTCTTGCGATAAGAAGCGCGACGTTCCCGCACCAAACATCCGTGGACGTCCTGGTGTCTCAGGATCGGGTTTCTCGTGGAAGGTTTCTTGTGGTCGGGCCCCTACTGTATAGCTCGGCAGCACTCGCCGCAACGAAAAAGAGGAAGCAATCGGCAGGTGCTCTTGGACCTTAGGCGCCCTCTCGTCAAACTCTGCGGCTTGGGCGATGCGATGGCCCTTCCTGGGAGCCGGGCCGCCCTCGCGGCCTCCTCCTCCGCTGTAGCTTGTACATGGCGCTGGCCACCCAGTTGCTCGAGCTGCGGTGCGATCCCCAATCCAACGCCGGATCAGCAGGCTTCTGGTGAGACTTCCTTCATCGAGGATACAAAGAGCCCCGTAAGATAGTTAAGACGTGGCCTTCCTCAGGTCCCCGGGGACGGTCCCCGTCTTTGTATCAGGGCTAATAAGTCGGAGTGGTTTGGCTCGATGCATCTGCAGAGCCAAAACCCAATCCCTGATTTTTTTGCCCTCCTAACATAGGTCCCCTCCCAAAGGGTCAGGGGCCCGTTTTTTTCCGTTATTATTGGCCGCGAGGGCCCTGCGGCCTTCACGCTCCTGCCAAGACGCGCCCCGGAGGCGGTGTTTCTCCACATGTCTGCCCTTGGCACCTTGATGGATGCCTCGGGCAGCCGAGCCGTCATCTCCTATGAAGACCAGGCCCCCCACTAGTGTTAAGGCGGGGACGTCCTTCTGCAGGAGGAGAATTCAAACATAGCAACCATCTAGTTTTGGGACGATTTTTTTTTGTTGTTGTGGCTGTTGTTGTTGATGTTGTTGTCGTTGTGGTTGTTGTTGTTGTTGCTGCTGCTGTTGTTGTTGTTGTTGTTGTTGTTGTTGTTGTTGTTGTTGATGCTGTTGCTGTTGCTGTTGTTGCTGTTGTTGTTGCTGTTGTTGTTGATGTTGTTGTCGTTGTGGTTGTGGTTGTTGTTGTTGTTGTTGTTGTTGTTGTTGCTGCTGCTGTTATTGTTGTTGCTGCTGTTGCTGCTGCTGCTGTTGCTGCTGCTGCTGTTGTTGTTGCTGCTGTTGTTGCTGTTGTTGTTGTTGTTGTTGCTGCTGTTGTTGTTTTTGTTGTTGTTGCTGCTGCTGTTGTTGATGTTGGTGGTGTTGTTATGTTTTTTGTGTGTGACTAATTTCGAATATTTTTCGATGTTTATTTGTCGTTCAGGATCCCTCTGTAGGAGGACATGTCCGACCTGACACTAGTGCGCTGGGCCGTCCTGCGGCAAGCGCACCCTTCGGCGAGGGGAACCGTCTTCTCGAGGGTGGGGAGGGGGCCACGTTCCCACGCCAGCAGCTCGGAGCCACCAATAACTCCAGCCCCACACCCGCACCTCTTCTCGCCTGGGATCGGCAGAGTAGGCTCCTCCAGAGCCGTCGCCTCTAACAGAAGCACCTTGGGGCAGGACAAGGCGGCCAGACTCGAACTCTGGGCTCAAAACCTCCTCTCCCCGAATCCCGAGCTGGGTGGGATGGAGCGTCCAGGCTCTCGGCACCAGGCCCCTGAGCCAGAAGCGTGTCTTATCTTCCCACTCCTCGCGCGCTTGGGACAGCAACTCAAGGTGGAGACCAGGACCAGGGATGCCTTCATTGCGCTCGCACTCCCAGGCCTGGTGGAGCAAAGTCTCTGGCACCCTCATGCACCTCGGGCACAGTGAGGAGGTCCATGCCTCTTTGGGCTCAGCGCTGATTCCTTGCAGCTCGGCAAGATCAGGGTTGAAACCCTCATCACCCACGCTACCAGGGCCTCCTCCTTCTCCTCATCCTTCTCCCTTCTCCTCCTCCTCCTCCTTCTCCTCCTCCTCCTCCTACTGCTCCAAAGCTGTGGGCACTGTGGGCCAGAATCACCTTCGGCAGCCTCCGACCATTACGTGCACGGCTTGTCTTACGGCGGACGTTACGTTCCAGAGATGGCCTACGCCGTGATTCGGCACAATGGTGCCAGCAGCAATCGCATCAACATCCAGGGGATAGCAGCAGGGGACCCTGTGATGGACAACAAGGCCCAGTTCCCGACGTACGCCACGACGCTTTTTTCTATGGGCCTGCTCATGGAGGACGAGCGCGCAGTCGTGGAGTCCATCATGGCTAATGCCACAGCGCTGAACGATGCGAATTGCACGCAGTCTTTCTCGGAGTGGAACAGGGTATTCAACGATGATGGTGGCTCATCTTGTGCGCCCAACTGTGAGTTTCTTTTCAAGGCCTTCACAGGCTCCGAAATCACAGAGCACCTACTTCTTGGTGCACAGCCGGCGAACTTCGGATACTTCAGGCGCTTCTTGAAGGAGCACTCGTCCGAGTTCCACTTCAGCGGGCAGCCTCACAACAGCTCCCTGGAAGAGGGTGGCAACGTCTACTCGGCCATTCGGGGGGGGCAGAAGCATACCCACTCGGATTCACCCCCTCCCAGGATCCGAGGCGGGGGTCTATCCATACGGCCACCGCCTGGGGGATGGATCTTCGGGGACCTCGGCAGGTGGTGGCGTGGTGGCTATGAGTCTATTCGGGGCTCCTGGGGCCAAGACGTATCCAGATTCACCGCCCGCTGGGGTCCCAGGACGTCGGTTCCCCAGGCGGAGGATGTGGATGAGTCCCCGCCTCGCGCAGGAGCAGGGGGAGGAGGAAGGGGCACGACCCGCGTCGCCTCACCTTCTCCAGCGCGTGCGGCTGCAGCTCTTTGCCTCATCCTTCGGACGGTCTCGCTGCAGTGGCTGCGGGGCCCGACACGGGTCCCCCCAGACTCCGTCCTCGGGCATTGTACCCATGTTTTCCGTACCCATTTCGGGCGTCCAAACCCACCGCGGCAGGAGAAGAGAGCACGCCTGGCCGAGCGAGAGCCTCCATGCTCCAAGGTCCACTGCTTACGCCTCTGGCGCGACTTCGCTGGGCGCGGCAGGTCTTCTCCTCCTCCTCGTTCCTCCTCCTCGTTCCTCCCCTCTCCGGTCTTCGCCGGTGCTCTTTTACTCCAGGATAGCTCACAGGACGTCGGCCGCCCCGCTGCTTCCCAGGGCGCCATGGGGGCCCCACCAGCACGGGTAAGCGCCTCTAGCCCCGCCCGGCCGTGGTCCGCTCCGGGGACTTCTGCCAGCCGTCCGCGCCGCTGTACGCCTCCCTGTTCCTGGAGGTTGGGGTCGACGTCTTGGTCTCCCCGCTCGGAGAAGGGGAGGGAGGGAGCGAGGGAGGGAGTGGGGGGGGTGCGAGGCAGGAGGCACGAGGGGGAGGAGGGGGAGGAGGAGGAGGAGGAGGAGGAGGAGGAGGAGGAGGAGGAGGAGGAGGAGGAGGAGGAGGAGGAAAGGGAGGAAAGGGAGGAGGAGGAGGAATCAGGAGTGCGGAGCGCTCCGAGGTGCCTGAGGCCGTTGATGGGGGACGGGGCGTTCGGTGGCAAGCTTTTTTGTTTTGTTCAGTCTGAATTACTAACAACTGGCGGATTCCAGAAAGGGCCTCGCCTTCGAGGATCGAAGGAGTTGCCGTCTTTTCCTCGACGAAAGGTGGCGGAAGGCCATCGAGAGCCCACGGACGCAAAACGAGGCTACGTACCTCCGCCGGCGGAAGGCTGGCGTAAGCTGGCGGAAACAAGAACTGGCCTCTCAAGAGATGGCAAGGCTCTTTTGTTCAGTGCTGTGGGACCCCGCCAATTTTTACTTTTTTTACTCTGAGTAGGGCCGATGGTCAAAGAGCGCCTTCCTCTGCAGGACCACCTAAAAAAGGACGTCAAGGTGGTTCAACGCCTTGTCGATTACGCCGACGAAGATGTGCAGCGTCCAACCATTCGCTTATGTCCAAAGCTTTGGCTTGACGCCCAGTGTGGTGCATCAGTTTCAGCTTGACCGAACCCGCTGATTGCGCCCCTTGACGTCCGTTTAGTTTAGGGTGTTCGGCAGACCTGACACCCCCCAGCCCCACTCAATCTGTAGTGTTGAACGCGCTGCTTGCGATGTCGCACTCCGGCGCTCGTTGCACTTGCGCTGACTATCTTCAGTGGTGGACGCACTACATGCGATGTCGCGCTCTCGCCTCGGCGCCGGCTGCACTGGCGTTGACAACGGGGCCCTCGCTCGAGCGTTGACAACGGGGGTTGCCCAGACCGCCTCCCCCCCACCTCAACGACAACGCTCCCGCTCAATGCTTCCTCACGTGTTGCTCAGGACTGGTGCTCTGACTCACCGTCGAGATCTGGCCCTCCAGCAGAGCCAGCACTCGCTGTCGAAAGCTTGCCCTCGAGCAAAGCCAGCACTCCCGCTGGATGTTTCCTGGATTTATGCGAAGGACCCGCGCTCTCGCTCTCGCGTCGGCCCCGCAAACGCCCCCCGAAGAACAACGACGCTCCGCTGGATATGTCTTACGTTTTCACTCAGCCGCCGTCGTCTTCGTCGTCGTCGTCGTCGTCCAGTCGTCCTTGTCGCCGTCGTCGTCGTCAGTCGTCCTCGTCGCCGTCGTCGTCGTCGTCGTCGTCGTCGTCGTCGTCGTCGTCGTGGTCCGTCGTCGTCGTCGTCGTCGTCGCCGTCACCGTCGTCGTGGTCCGTCGTCGTCGTCGTCGTCGTCGTCGCTGTCGTCGTGGTCTTCGTGGTCATCGTCGTCGTCGTCCGTCGTCGTCGTCGGCGTCGTCGGTCGTCGGTCGTCGGTCGTCGGCGTCGTCGCCGCCGTCGTCGTCGTCGTCGTCGTCGTCGTCGTCGTCGTCGTCGTCGTCGCCGTTGGTCCCTCCAGGTCTACTCGTCGAATCTGGACCCGCTGCTCGGCCCGCCCTCCACGGCGGCGGGGGTGCGGGCGGCCTGGGACCACGCGGAGGCCGCGGTGCAGGGCGGCGACGAGGCCAAGCGTCAGTTTTACGCCCATCGGGCAGTGCCAATGGGGGTTCGCCGCCAGAGGGGTCGCCGCCTCGGGGATCGAGGATCGAGGCTTGAGGAGGAGGAGGAGGAGGAGGAGGAGGAGGAGGAGGAGGAGGAGGAGGAGGAGGAGGAGGGCGGAGGAGGAGGAGGAGGAGGAAGGAGGAGGAGGAGAGGGAGGAGGAGGAGGAGGGAGGAGGAGGAGGAGGAGGAGGCGGAGGAGGGCGGAGCGAGGGGAGTTCGGTGGGTCCTGGGGTGTCCCCGTCCTCTTCCTCCTCCTCCTCCTCCTTCCTCTTCGTCCTGTTCCTTCTCTCCTCCTCCTCCTCCTCCTCCTCCTCCTCCTCCTCCTCCCGACAATCGAGGGTTGAGGAGGGGTTCAGGGTCTGGGATCGAATCGGCTCCTGGACGACATGCTGTGTTTAGTGTGCTCTGGCAGACGTGGGGGGCTGAAGGCTCGCCCCCCCCCGTCGAGGAGGTGGCGACCCGCTCATTTTGGTGACCCTTCCGATTTGGCACTGCCTCGGCCCAGAAGAAGCAGATCTGGCGCGTTGCGGCCTCGGATACGGACCCCGCCGGCTACTCCAGGTGCCTCGCCAGGAGCCGAGCAGTGGCGAAGCGTCCCGACCTGCTTGTAAGCCTACCCAACACTGTTGTAAGAACCTTCTGTGGGTTGCGCGGCGTGTTCTCGGAATCTTCCTGGCTGAGGCCGTCTGGTGATGATATGTCGGCCTTCATGTCCTAAGACAATCACTTTTCTTTTGTCAAGGACATAAGAAACGCCCCTACCCTGGTTTACGAGGCGCTATGCGCTGAAATTCCTGTGGGCTGTCAGGGTTAACCCTGCGTGATGTGCGGCGTCCTGGCGGCTCTCTAGGCTTTGGGAGCTCCCAGGAGGTTTACAGACCACGCACTTGTAACCTAGGGTAGGGCCGTT